TCGGCAGTAAAGAAAGAAATCTTACAATTTGCAACCACTTGAATGGAACTTGAGGGTATTTTGTTAAGTGAAATGTGTTAGAAAAAGACAAATACTGCATAATCTAGTGGTCGTTGCCAGGGTGGGGAAAATGGAGAGGTGTTTGTTGGTCAAAAGGTACCAAAAAAACACAGAGAAAATATACTGAACAATTTATTTATACAGAAATGTCTTTCAAAGAAGACGTCTTGGGAACAAATACCTTGACTTCATTCAGCCATGCCAGCATGGCACACCATTTGAGAACTGGCTTTTTCAGAGCCCTCAGGGTAAGTTAAGACACCAGCTGCCTGGTGTTTGTTAAACCATATTTTGTTCCCATAATCAGCATCTGCCACCTTGACCACCAGCCTTCATTCTGAAAAACTTTGACTATGGCTGCTTTCAGATCCTTTTGGAAATTGTCAAGAAAAGTTAATAGGATGGGAAAATTTTTTAGTTATTTCTAAACAGAAAATTCCATTGATCAAATCCCTCTTCAAAGGAGCAAGATTTACCACATGTGATACTTTTCAAAGATCAGCTCAAAAACTCTGGAGGTAGTTTCCAAGAAAGATGAAAAAACTGGCTTGACTATTTCATACCCATTAGGATAGTTATTATCGAAAAGAAAATAAATAAAACTAAAAAATAACAAGTCCTGGCCAGGACGTAGAGAAACTGGAACCCTGTGCACTGCTGGTGGGAATGTAAAATGGAGCAGCTGCTGTGGAAAGCAGTAGGCAGTCCCTCAAAAGGTTAAAAGTAGAACTACCATGTGACCGGCAATTCCACTTCTGGTTATATACCCACAGAATGAAAGCAGGGCCTCCCCTGTTCATAGCGGTTTTACTCACAATAGCCATGAGGTGAAAGCAACCCCAGTGCTCAGAGACAGAGAGAGAGGTAAACAAAATATGGTTTACACATCCAATGGGACATTGTTCAGCCTTAAAAAGGAAAGGAAGTCTAGCATTTGCTTCAACATGGATGAACCATGAGGGCATTGTGCTAAGTGAAAGGAGCTAGTCACAAAAGGACAACTACTGTATGACTCCACTTATGTGAGGTTCCCACAGTAGTCAAAATCATGGAGACAGAAAGTAGGATGGTGGTTGCCAAGGGCTGGGGTTTTATTTGAATCCTTACAAATAAAAGGAGAATAATTCCTTCATCTTCATGACAGAAGCCAGAATGCTTTTCTGAAAGGTCAGCAAAATAGTGTTAGATTTGAGATTAGAACCAGGGAGACAAATAACCTGGAGGTAAAGGTGTGACACTGAATAAAGAATAACCATGGAACCACAGTTTAAGCAATAAGTTGCCCACCTCTGCTTCCTCCCGAATTCCTAGAGATCATGACTCTCAACCTAGAAACTGATTAAAGGTGCAAAGATATGAATAAAATTCAGGAAGTAAAAAGTGGGGTCCACTTACACTTTGGGATCCTCCTGAATTGGGGGTGACTTTATATGAGAGCAAGAGAGAGCATACTTGTTCTGGCTGATCTTTATAAGTGCATTTCGTGGGCAAAATTCCTGTAATAATACAAAAGAGTAACTGAGAGATGTCCACAGTTCAGATGTAATTTTATTCCAGCTCAGCCCATTGTAATAGCGACTAGCCATTATCCTATTTAGAGTGATACTTAAGGGTGCAGTTTAGATACAGAGCCTCACTTGATAATTACATGCTGAATAAAAGTCATTGTTGAGTCCTCTCTGTCATTCTCCATGCCCTGGATCATTTGCCAAGTCCAGCCACATACGATGCAGTGGGTGCACACACACACGCGCACACACACACATCCTCTCACATAACCACCGTCCTATCTTTATTTCGGCCTTGGCCATCTCTTTCCTGGGCTTATAAGCTGTCACCACCGCCTCTTGATGAGCACCGACCGTCAGCCCCATGAGTCTCCCAGCATCTCCATCAGAACTGTTTTCAGCGTCCGTGCCCTGACCATGCCACACCCCGGGGACGTGTCATCCCTGGATTTGCTTCCTCCTTTCCTGCCTGGGAGACATCCCCCAGCAGCGCCAGCCGGTGGCCTTCCAGGCGGGGGCCCCTGTGCTGTTGTGGAACAGCCCCAGGAAAGCCCGTTTCTCTCAGGCTTTCCTGGCTTGATGAGAAGGCTCCCTTTCTCCCCCGTGTCTGTCAGGTTGCATTCAGTGCCTCTGGGCCCACTGGCTCAGTTGCTGTTTGCTCACGGCCTTCAATCCAGAATTGACTGGATGTTTCATTCTGCATCGCAGCAGGCAGACGCAGAGGGCGAGCGTGCAGCCTGTGAGCGACCTCCTGGTGCCTGCCTGTTCTACGCCCGTGTGTGATGACCTTTCTGCTTCGGTTTCCTTGTCCGAAGACAGGGTGACTGGTCCCACGTCACAGTGTTCTGGGCTCTCAGCGGTCCTCTGCGGGCCACGCACTTGGAGCAGCACCTGTGGCGCATACTAAGGCCTAATAAAGTCAGCGTCTGTGATTCCATTTGCTCCTGTTTGCTCACCAGCCTCTTTTCCAAGCATAGTAAGCAGTCCATCCAAGCAAAGTTATTCCTATTAGAAACATCATTTCTTCAAACAATTCGAAAAGCAATTGTGAGAACCTTCTCTTCCCCAGGGGCTGTCATGGTGCAAAGGTGCCCAGGCCACAGCTCCTGCACTGAAGGAGGTGGGAGCTGGCTGGCAAGGAAGCCGGTGTGGGAAGAGGGAGGACAGTGGGCGGGACCCCCCCCCCCCAGGGCCTCGGCAGGGGGGGCACAATGAGGCAGAAGCTGCTTCGTGGAAAGAAGACGGAAGGCCGTCCAGGAGGAGCGGAAGCCCAGGGGCAGGAAAGGCCGCTGTGTTCCAGCTCACAGGGCAGCCAGAAACATGCCGGTCAAGCCCCGCTTTTTTTCTTTTCCTTTTTTTCCCTTTCTTCCTTTCTTTTCTTTTCTTCTTTTTAAAATTTTCGGTTACTGTTTACATTTACTATTATTTTGTAGTAGTTTCAGGTGCACAGCATAGTGGGCAGACAATCCTACACTTTACAGAGTGACCCCGATATTTCCAGTCCCCGCCGGGCACTGTACAGAGTTACTACAATATTACTGACGATGTTCCCTGTGCTGTACTTCACATCCCCAAAGCTGCACTTTTTCTTGAGGTTGATGAGAAGTGTGTGGGGGTGGGGAGGGGGGGGACATCAGGCAGGCAAATGACATCATCAGATCATAACTGATAAGGATGTTTTCTGAAACTTTTAGGACAGATCCATTGGGAGGACCGGCAGGAGAGCATCAGGCAGGAGCATCCTGAGCATCAGCATCAGCGAGAGCGAGAGAGAGAGAGCGAGAGCTGTAAGGACAGGAAGGACCCTGAAGAAGCCAAGGGAGCTCCCAGGCAGGAGGCCGTCCCGTGGAGGAGCAGGGAGGCCGTGGCTCCAGTAGCAAGGGCAGCTTTTGTGTCTTGAGTGGGCAGAATCCAAACCGCAGGGGGAGGGGATGCAGCCGGGAAACCATTTCTTCAGGACACCTGGCAGGGCCAGGAAAGAGCTAGTGCGGCCCGCAGAGAGGGGGCGAGGGAGCGGCTCCTGCTGGCGACGCAGCCCTTTTCCAGACGCAGTTCTACTTACTCTCCGGTTGTTACACTTCAAAACCGTGTAGAGTTTATCCTCGGCCACATCCTGATTCGGAAGTGCTATGACAATGGCAGGGACATAGAAGTCAAATCCATTGGGTGTCACAATCTTGGCAAATACATAATCTCCGACCTGTAGATGAGAACATGCTTCATAGTAAACACTTGGCTTATAGGCCTTCTAGAGTAGACAGTATTGATATAAGCGTGTTTTAAAACACCCAGGGTTCTAAATTTCAAATACATAATTTTTTCTCAGAAAGAGCCAATAGTTCCACAGTTCCTGCACTCATTGGCCACCCTGGAATGCAGTGATTGGCTTGAGGAAGCCCCACTGCAGCAGGGCCTGGGAGGGGTCTGGAAACATCCTCCCAGGACAGGTGGGAGGGGCCTGCAGGGCCTCACATGAAGACCCAGGGGAGAGGAACACAGGCCTGCTCGCGGTGCTCGGAGCACACGGAGGACTCCGTGGGTAAAGGGACATGGAGATCGCTTCCAGTGGACAGGAAGTCCTGGGCAGGGACACAGCTGCTGGGCACTTGTCAGATGGACAGGATCCCGCCAGGAGGAAGTACGCTGATGTGCGCCTGGGTCTGGCAGGGGCCACACGACCAGGTGCCCCTGCAAGTGTGCTCCCTCGGTGCTTCCCTCCACTCTCTCCAAAACCCACGGCACTGCAGTTCTGGGGCTTTCTCGCTACTCTCTGGCCTGGCTGTCAAGGAAGCATGACCTCTGCCCTTGCTTCAAAACTGTTTAGCCCGGCCGGTGTGGCTCAGTGGTTGAGCGTTGGCCTATGAACCAGGAGGTCATGGTCTGATTCCCGGTCAGGCACATGCCTGGGTTGTGGGTTCAATCCTCAGTAGGGGGCATGCAGGAGGCAGCCAATCAATTCTTATCATTGATGTTTCTATCTCTCTCTCCCTTTCTCTCTGAAATCAATAAAAATATATTTTTTAAGAAAAACTATTTAATATAGTTTGCAGTTATAGTTTCAAGAGCACCAACAGCCTCAGCAACTCCCTTCCCTGACCATCTATGGCCTGTAAAGTGGCCAGTGCAGTCCTGAGCTATATACCAGGCAGTTAGCAGATCAGGATCATGAACAAAGAAATCTCCAGGCAAGTGACCATAGAAAACAGGCCATTCCTCTTCCAGCCCAACCAGAGCGCAGCGAAGGGCCTAGCACGGCAGCCTGTCCTCAGAGGACTGGGAACGTGAAAGGGTTCGGGAACAGGTGCTGGAGCCGGTACCTGGAGCAGCGGGCAGGGCATGGCGCCCCCCACAGGCGTGATGAAGGAGGTAGGCACCACCTTGGTGTCTCCGTACCTGAAGTTCACCAGTGCATGGGTGGGGTTTATGCACTTCTTCACGACCCCTGGAAGGAATCAAAGTTAAGATACGATAGGAGGACAAGGAAAGCCTATCGCCTTGGGCTGCCCCTCCTGTGGGTCGGCTAATTGTCACACTTTGCCTCTTGGACGACTCACCAGATGGCGAGGGACGCCTCCGGGGGGGCCTGGGGTGCAGACTGCAGGCGGGGAAGGGCATGCTCTGGTCTGGACACCACGGAGCTGGGGCCAGAGCATGCGCAGCTCACTCACCCAGCGTCACCAGCAACCATCTCAGAAACAGACACCCTCTTCCTGGACACCCTACCATCGGTTCCCTCATGTATCTGTTTTAGCCACACTCCCTTCTGTAAAGCTCAGATAGGAAAACCAGTGCTGTTCAATTGTGAGTGAAAAGGAAATGCGAACTCCCCTCACCAGCTTCTCATTAACGTTAGATCAATGAAAAGCCCGCGAGGCTGAGCACATCCCACAGCTTCCCTAAAATCTACAACCAAAACGGAGAAAACAGGAACCCAGACGTTTCCTTGCCTTGTCGTTCTCCTCAGAGAGCTTGTTACAACCAGAAAGGAAATGCCACGCTGGGTGCACACGTGCTGTCACTTAGCCGAGATGAATGCATGTTCCCGTCATGCGCGGGTTATACGTATCAGGGGAGCTCTGAGCAGGACACGCCCTGGCAGTGGCAGCTGCCAGGACCTCTGCTCTGAGACAGAAAGTGCACGTCCCATTGGGCCCCGCCCGCTCCCAGGCATCCTTGGCCAAGCCCCAGGCCCTGGACGTGCCAGGAGACTGCCGAGTTTCATCCTGAGTCTATGTCTTTTGTATGAAATAACCAAAGAAATGGAAACCTTTTTAAAACAAAACACACACACATGAAAACCAGCTTTCCACCGTGCGTGCTTTCTTATCAAACTAAATGTTCAACTGGATTTTGAATTTTCTTTACACATTACTCACATATTGCCTACCATCCATTGACTACTCTTTTAGAAAAACAAGCAGCACTTTTTGAAGGAATTTCTGTTATGGAAACAGTGCAGGACCACTCCTGGTTGAAGACAACCCTCCATGCCTCACCCTCTCCTCGGTTCAGGACTGGGCTCAGCCTGGGAGGCTCCTCATGCCCCGGCCTTGGGGGCTTTAGCAGGATCTGGTCTGAAAGCAGCAGGCAGTTGTCCAGTTTCTTGCCTACAGTGAGCAGCTGTGACGGAGGCTGCATGGCCCACATTCTAAACCAGTGATGGCGAACCTTTTGAGCTCGGCGTGTCAGCATTTTGAAAAACCCTAACTTAACTCTGGTTCTGTGTCATATATAGAAATTTTTTGATATTTGCAACCATAGTAAAACAAAGACTTATATTTTTGATATTTATTTTATATATTTAAATGCCATTTAACCAAAATAAATCAACCAAAAAAATGAGTTCGTGTGTCACCTCTGACATGCATGTCATAGGTTCTCCATTACTGGTCTAAACCATTCATTCTCTGCCTTTTACACAACAGTATGCCCGACCTGCCCTAGGTGGTTGGACCCAACTTTTCAGTATGTTACTATAATCTCTTTTAGTTCCTTCATTCTCTTTTCCTCTGTGTACATTCTCTGCAGAGGTGGCCTTTGCCCACCTCCCACAATTAGAGTGCTTCCATGGCCTAACTGTAGAACCAGCCTCGCCGGTGGCACCTCTGGCTGTGTCCTCGACCTGCAGGACCCTGCGCGGCCTGTCGAGCTAGGGCTCGGCCTCTGCTCTGGCTCCTTCTCCATCTAATTAAGGAGTTGCCAGCATTTCCACGTCCTGATCCAAGACCAGCTTCCAACCTTCGGCTTCCCAACATCCCGCTTTCCTGTCCTCAGCCCCTGGTTCTGACATGTCACGAAGAACTATTTCAGGGGCCTGGCCTTTGTTCTGTGGGTCTTTGCTCCTGAAGGCAGCTTGGTGATGGCAGTCATCCTCCTGGGTATGACGGGGCTCCCCACCTGGGCCTGAGGGCTCTCCTGCATTCAGGCTAGGAAACGGACACACCCCTATTGAGGCCCTCAGCAAAACTCTGGCCATGCTCAGCAGTTCGAGGACTGGAGAAATGGTCTAAGCGTACAGCGTAGGCCAGTTCATTTGGCTAGAGATGCAGAAATAGTTCTTACTCTTTGCTCCAAGAGGGAATTTCTCAGGCTGGAGACTGGATATATAAATATTTTTAATCCCTGGCTGTAAGAACCTTCTGATAGTCACAGTCCAGTCAATTCCATCTCCTGCAAAAGGCAATCACTTTGCCCACCAGTAGCCTTCCCACCACCTGCCCCAATGCACTGGGTGTCACCCTACACGGCCATTCACCATATTCTTGTCTTCCTTAATTTTAGAGGTTTTCCGTCTAGCAAACTGTGATTTTTGCCTTTTCGAGTTGCTGTTAATGTGTGTGTTTTTTAATGAGGAAGTGTGTGTGTGGGAGAGAGAGAGAGAGAGAGAGAGAGAAGAAGAAGAAGAAGAAGAAGAAGAAGAAGGAGGAGGAGGAGGAGGAGGAGGAGGAGGAGGAGGAGGAGGAGGAGGAGAGGGAGGAGGAGGAGAAGGACATATTTTTGATATTTATTTTATATATTTAAATGCCATTAACAAAGAAAAATCAACCAAAAAAATGAGTTCACGGTCACCTCTGACACGCGTGTCATAGGTTCGCCATCACTGTTCTAGGGAAAGCGCAGTTTGAGAACCGCTGGTCCCCTCCCCGATAGCATATCCTTTAACAAAGCAATCTTACAAAATAATATATCTACCTGGGAAATAAAAGCCATTTGCGTCACATCTTGCAATAACCCTCTGGCCTTTGAGGTGATGCAATTTTTTGGATTTGATTTTCTTTGTTGAATTTCCTTGAAATTTCTGGGGCTAAAAAGATAAAAGATTATAATTGAAAGGAAAGTCAGTGCAGACAGTGAAAGCCGCAGGCCCAGGTGTCCCAGGCCTCAGAGGGGAGTGCGGGACATGCATGCGCTGTGCACTGTCTCTGGGAACTTCCTGCTCTCCGCTGCTGGGAACAGGCTTTCACCCAACTGACCTGAGAGCCTTGCTGCCTAAACATAATCAGATTTTTTAAAACAAAACAAAACCAAAAAAGCCAACCTTTTCCAGAGAATTGAAACTGGATCCAGAGTCTTAAAACATAATATTCAACACATCATTATACAATCCAAAATGCAACAGATAAAAAAAGCAAGCCAATATGACCAGTTCTCAAGGTATGAGGCGATCGATAGATCACAATACTGAGATGACCCAGGTGTTGTAATGATCAGATAAAGACTTAAACCAGCAATTATAGTCCATGACGTAAAGCAAATACCTTTGAAATGAATGGAAAATGTTTTCAGCAGAGAAATAGAAACTATAAAAACTATAAAAATAACAAAATGAAAATTTTAGAAGTAAAAAAATAATATCTGGAAGGGCTTAATAGTAGAATTGATATGACAGAAGAGACAAATCAACAGAAATTATTCAATCTGAAGAACAGAGGAAAAGAGGTGTTTTAAAAATGAGGAAGGCCCTTCCTATTCCAGATGCCCCTTCAAAGCCAAGCCCAGCCCAGTTATCTCTTGCTGGGCAAACTTACCAGGCAGATTCAGAAAAAGCAGAGGTGTATCCTTACGAGGAATATTATCCAGTCATTTATATCTGACTAGAGGCCTAGTGCATGGATTTGTGCACCGGTGGGGTCCCTCGGCTGGCCTGCACCCTCTCTCAATCCGGGACCACTCAGGGGATGTTGGACTGCCGGTTTTGGCCTGATCCCCGCAGGCCAGGCTGAGGGAACCCACCAGTGCATGAATCTATGCACCAGGCCTCTAGTATGCATATAAGATATTTGGTTAATCCCTTCCCACCCTCCCCCTTCCCCTCGTCCCTCTGAGATTCATCAGTCTGTTCCATGTTTCCATGCCTGTGAGTTGAGCGTCTGCCCTGTGGTGGTCAGTGCGCAGCATAGCTACCGGTTGAATGGTCGAACGGTCAAACAGTTGAATGGTCGCCTAGGCTTTCATATATAGAGATATACTGATTAATGGTTATCCAAGGTGAGGGTGCAAATAGATGGACTGCAAATGGGCATGAGGGGTCTCTTTGGGGTGATGGGAATGTGCTAAAACTGGATTGTGGTGGTGGTTGACAGCTCAGTCAATTTTACTAAAAATCACTGAGTTGAAATAGGTTGAGCTTTATGTTGTCAAATTAATATTTCTATAAATCTGTGGTGGTGTTTTTTTTAAAGGAAGTTAAAATAGACAGCCATTTATTTATGGTTTGCTCCTAGAAAATGCTCACATTATTTTACATACAGTGGGCTATGGAGTGAATGAGTATAGAAGCTTCAATAAACTAACAAAATAGAAACAGACTCATAGAGAACAGACTGACGGCTGTCAGAGGGGAGGCGGTGGGGGGCTGGGTGAAAAAGGTGAAGGGATTAAGCAAAGAAAAACACCACCTCATAGACACAGACGCCAGTATGGCAATTGGGCGGGGGAGTAGAAGCTGGTAAAGGGGGGATAAATGGTGATGGAAGGGGACTGGGTTTGTGGTGGTGAACACACAATACAATAGACAGATGATGTATAATAGAATTGTTCACCTGAAGCCTATATAATTTTATTAACCAATGTCACCCCAATAAGTTCAATAAAAATTTTAAAAAAGAAATAGGAAGAAAAAGATAAACCAAATAGGCCCTTTCCTTCAAATCACTACATTGCAGAAACTGGAGATTTTCCCTACTAGATTTTTTAAAAAAATTTTTTCCCTGTCTCAACCATTAATTTATTAATTCTTGGGTTTCTTAAAGAAATTAGTCCTCCTCAATCTGACTGCCCAGCAACATCATTCTCCAGCTTCTCTTTGCAGACAGTCAAGTGTCCCTCTTCTCCATGAAAGAAAGCCAACAGCAGGTGTTTTCACATGCATTTTGAGGTTACTTTTTTGCAATGCTATGGTTATACCATAAATAAAGTGTTAAATGCATATTTTATGAGTTCATCTACAGGACTCCACTTAAGCAAATCTCTAATTTATGAGGCGATTGACTATAAAATTTAAATAACTTCAGGTGGTCTCCACACCATTTGCTCTTGGCCATTATTCATTCCAGTACCGTTAGGATATGAGTGGGCCCACCTCCAGGGCGCCTGCTGCGACTGGTGCAGCGTCAATCATCTGGGCCTGTTTGGACACGCTGCACAGGTTCATTAGAACAAGTGGGAGCCTGGCCGATCTGCTGGGAGATGAACACTGGGAGCCAGGTCCTCAGAAGTGAAGAAGTGGGAACCAAGGGGTGGTCTCTTGAAGGAACTGTGGGATATGATCAAATGTTGGCCTATGCAGACAGGGACAAAATGCCAGATGAGCACTACCCTTTTGTTTATGGTGTTCCCATTTAGCTGGATTTTGCTTGGGTACCTCCATTCTATTTTTACTAATGCAGTCAGTATGTCAGAGGACAGTCAACATCACTGGTATATGGTGAATGTCAGCTGCTTGTTCCTGGCCTGTCACACCTTCCACGGGAGATTCAGAATGACCGGCAGTCGGAAATGGCCTCAAAGGGAGGAGCCTGGGCCAGGCGGCAGGAGGGGCCGGACCAAGTGCTGCCTGCTGGCTGTGGGACTTTGGGCAACTTTTTACCCTTCCTGAGAGTCAGTTTCTGCAAATGCAAAACGAGGGGATAATCTAAGTGCTCTCTAACGCCCGTAGCTCCACACCTTTGTCCAGGAGATCCCAGCCTTACTAGGGACCACTGTCAGCCCTTGTGTAAACTGTCTGCAGTTTTTACAATTTGAGGGAAATGTGCCAGCCAGGACTATGACCGTGAGTAGCACGGTCACCATACCCACAGAGATGCCCATATCACAGTCACGTAGGAGCCACATAAAGTTTCCCATAGACCCACGTAAAGCTTCTAATTAGATAGAATTTAGAATCTTGAGAATCTGGAACAAGATGAATTAAATCATTGTTACTTAAAAACCTTTACCTAAAGGTAAACTTCCATGAAGGTTACCTTTACATAAAGCTAACTTCTACAGCCACCTGCTTCAGGCCACCAGGATTCACAGCCAAGACCGATCGACCCGGGAGGCACCTGCCGGTGGCCACGGAGCCACCAGACAGCCTCTCTGCCTCCAGGCAGATAATAAGTGTTCTTCCAGACAGATGACCACACCGACCCAGAAAGGTCTTTTCCCATTTAGATTTCATCAGTATAACAGGGAAGCCATGAAAAGGACCTACGCCTAGATACATTCAAGATTCTAAATGAGGGTAATCGCATAACTAACTTACCTAACCCCTTTTTTTCTCCAGATTCCAAATATTGATTTGGTTCTCTCAATATCCTTGCTGGCTGCTTCCGGAGGGGCGAGGCCCTGGGAGGCAGGTCAGAGGGCGTGGGGGGGACAGGCTGGGCACTGGCTCTGCGCGCCTCCCGCCCTGTCTCTCCAGCTCTACTCCCTGCTCAGGACCAGTGCTGCCGGGACCCCAGCAGCACTACTTCCTGCCGCCCCTTCAACTCTCTGCTCTCGCCATTGCTGGGGGCCTCGGACCCTGGGGCTGCCTTAGCCCTACCTCCACCTCTGCAGGAAGTCCCTTCACTAACATTTCTTCACGTGGACCAACTGAATGGGAGTCTGTTTCCTGCCTGGACCCCACTGATAAGGCCTCCGCGTGGCTCTCCAGATGCGGAGGTCGGTGACCAGCCCACACCTGTTCAGGGTAGAGCCATGACTGTGGAAGAGAGACCCCGGGGGCAGGAGAGAGCTGAGGGCCAGCAGCGCATCTCCAGCGGGGGTGCCTCGGGCGTCAGCAGGAAGAGACAACCTGGCGGGGACTTTTGTCACCTTGGGGATCCCTAGAGCTGATCCCACCTTTCCACTCCGAACATCAGATACTAGAAGACAACTCTGTAGATAATATGGAGGGTTTGTGGGCGTTTCCCTTCCTTCCTTTTGATTCCCTTCAGTGGCTGGTGTCCCTGAGCAGGATTTTCTCAATCATGAGGTGAGCACTTCTCTTTGGCTCCCTCTCTGTCCCATCAGGGCGCCTCACGCTCCTCTGTACAGAGGGACACTGGTCACTGTAAAAGGATGGACTACAATGCAAGAATGACAACTGGCCCGATTATTATTGGAAACAAAGATAACGAACTCTACTTATTCTGACTTCATTTTATACAATTCCAAGAACTTTCCCTTTAGTCTCCCCAACTAATTTTCTCCCGTGTGATATAAAAGTCACAGCCCAACGTGATGTTTTCAAATCCAAGGTCTCTCTTCTTTCCTTCATTCTCTCAGTCTCACCTCACCCAGTCTCACCCATATCCTCCCTCCTGTGCATTTTCCTACCACTCTTTTTCAGGAAGCCACAGACTCCAGCTTCCTTCCAGTCACAGCCCTGAGAAGTACGTGCACCCAGCTGTGTGAGGAACCTCCAAGGCCTCTCCTGGGCTGCTTACAGCTCAACAAGACTTTCTGCCTCCGAATTTTCCAAGGAGGTCAGGTTTCCAGGTGCAGAGAGCCCCCTGTGTCCTCCTGGGCCTGGAAGCTGTGGGGTTTGCCCTGGAGCACACCGTGTTACTGAGGAAATGCTGTAGGAAGTGTGGCTGGGGCTCCTTAGACTGGAAGGTTAACTGTGATTCAGATGCCTTCTCCTGTTCCCACCTCTGAAAGCTCAGGATTGGCCAATGAGGTGAAGTCTGCAACCATGGCAACAAGAAGTGCTAGTGAGGGAGTTTTCAGGGGAATTTAAAATTTCAGTCTCATGACTTTCATTATGTGGTCACACTCAAACTAACTTGGGTTTGCTACACATTTTCAATACCCTCCTGGGGGTCTTAATAAGTAAGA